TACTCCTCACCACTCCTACCTTGCAACCTCAAGTCCTTGTTGCCCCCGTATCTCCTGTGTGGTACTTCTCCCCCTCTCTTCCTCCCTACCATACTCTCCCTTACTTTTGCTCCATGCCAGCAGGCTTCATCCTTGCTGCAGTCTGAAGCATGGAGCACAGAGCACAGCTCCAGGTCAGACCTATCGCAGTGGTGTGAGCTCCATGCTGCTGCTGTGGGACTGCAGCAGGGATGGAACCTGCCAGCACCAGAGCAAAGGAAAGGGGGAGTGGAGGGTCAGGCTGTAGGGAGAGACTTTGGTTGGGGGAGGGATATGAGAAGAAGTGAGGGCAGGGATCTGAGGCTGCCGGAGGCAGAAGCAACATGGAGGGGGGAAGAGAGGGGGATGCGGGAAGGCAGAATGGGGGCCTGTGGCAGTATGGGGAAGCAGAATGAGGGGTAAGTGGGGGTAGGGACGGGTGCAAGGGGGCAAGCTAACTGTCTCCCCTACTGCCTGCCCCTATTACTGTCCCCTCATGTCTTGTCTACTGCCTCCCCCACTGTCTGTCCCCCCACTGCCTGCTCCACTACTACCTCCTTCATCACCTCTCCCCACATTGGCTGCAATGGTCAGGAGGATGAATATAAGATGATCCTCCAATAATGAGATTCTATACATGGAAAAGTATAAATTTATAAATTATCTTTGTATATAATCTAATTATTTGGGGGGGGGTCATCAAATTCAGGGTCATCTTGTACTCAGGTAAATATGGTAATGCTTCACCCTTATCTAGGCCTGATTCTGTATTATGTTACCCTGTGTTTAACAGGGCTGTAAGTCCTTTGTCTGTTGTCCATTGTCCTTAGATTCAGTATCACATGCAGAAGAATTGGGCCTACAGCATTTACCATTTTCAAAGGGAGTTATGAACACTAAATATAGGCTCCTTATGGCATGCCTATAATTTACTGTAGTTCCATCCTGGCACCAGTGTTATTCCCATTTTACCAATGGGATAACTGAGGCACAAAAAAGTAAAGTGATTTATCTAGTGCTGTGTAGTAGGTGTGGAGCAGAGATGAGATCAGCACCTGGGCATTCCTGCATGCTGCACCTGAGAGTCCCCAGTTTTCCACACTGTACTACCTCTCACTGATGCCAAAGTCATTCCTACGGTGGAGTTACAGAATGGATGAAATTGGCTCCTCACTTGAAGAAATCATGCTGAAAGTTTTCTTACTGTTTCAGGGGCTTGTGAATTTGATCTCAATGAGCATACCTGTACTGCTTCTGGGCCAGAGCTGGGAGCTCCACAGTGAAGCATGCCATGTACCCTCTATTCGCACTAAACCCTGGAGAGAGGGTGGTGATGCACAGTGATCTTTTGTGGTGATCTTGAGACCACCATTGAGGCACAAGCTCTGCTCACTGTGTCCCACTTGCCAAAAAATTTTGTCTACTTTATTTTTTGGTGCATTCATGGTCTCAGTCTTGGCACGATCCTGGTAGAGGTGCTGGATTCACTTGGAATGCCTCTCACTTTGACAGATGATATTTTTTCAGCCCATGATAATTCTGTGTGGGAGTAGGCAGGGTTTATTTCTCCATGCTGGTTTTGGGATTGTTGCAGGGGTTGTATAGACAACCCTGAAATACCTCCAATTTAGGATTCAGCGTATGCAGTGCAGGGGTGTTGTGTATCAAGGCAGTGGCCTCCTTGCCCCATCTGTAAGTGGTGTAGACATGCCTAGTATGTTTTCTATGGGGCTTTGACAAAACATGGCAGGGCTCAACTGCAATTGAGGCACCAGCTTGTTTATTCTGTGCTGTCTCTTAAGCTCAGTGTTTCAGGAGGACAGGCCATTAAGTCACTTGGCAAGACTTAGAGCAAACCATGACACATACAAGCTCTCAGTTGTGTTCAGGAGCAAGCTGGCTCTAGTGCCCTCCACAAACTTTGGGTATTCAGTTTAGTAGGAATCCAGATGATCAACTATTGTTTATCTGACCTTATGGAAGCAAAGCATCAAGCTTGATGTCTTGGAGGAGCAGGCTTGCTCCTTCTGTTCACATAATGGGCCAGTTACTTAGTCCATGTAAACAAATGTAACTCCACCAAAGCTAGTGGACCTGTGTTGATTTAGACAAACTGATTTGCCTGTTGGTAAATCTGGGCTACTGATTTTTTTGCCCAGGATATAAACGCATTCAAAAACTAGTTCCCAGGACATCTGGGAAGTTCACTGGCATAACAATGAAGAAAAGAAGTGATTTTTAAAAGTTTAATTAAAAAAAATCAGATACAACACAATTTGGGACTATACCCACACCTGTGGTTTTCTGCATTTTCAGATTGTCATAGTGATGGCAAGCTAACAACAGGCTCTTCCTGCTTTAGGAATTAATGAACACATGAAGTCGTCCTTGCTCTCAGCTCTTCCAAATATTCATTAGTGCCCAAGTAATTCCCAAGTAATGTCACCACTTAGGTGGCATCCTTCCCTCTTAAGGTAATAGGTGTCACTTGGCTAAAGAAGTGACAGTTTTGAAGGCTTTGGAAGCTTGAGAGAAACCAAATGTTGAGCTGACACAGGTATTTGTGTTCGTGTCCAAGCTCTAATTTTGTTATCTTCCTTTCTCTGTTTGGCAGGGCTGCTTTGATAGCAAAGGTAAGAACCTAATGTTGTTTACAAAGTGCCTGAGAAGTGCTCAGACTTGGTGCGACAAGAAAGCTTTCTTAACAGCACTTCTGTCTCAAGAAGAAATCAGCAGACATAATGAAATGGGCATTATGATTGTGGACACTAAAACTTGGAGGCTTTAAAAAAAGACAACAAGATTGCAGGTTGGGTTTCATTTGACTGAATGTGTACAAAGGTTCCAATAATGTCTTCAAATACCTGAAGGGCAATTATAAAGAGGATGGAGATGGACTTTTTTTGTGGCTGTAGGGGACAGGACTAGGAGCTATGACCTCAAACTGCAGCAGAGAAAGTTTAGGTTGGAGATTTGGAAGAACTCTCTGACTATGAGGAAAAGCTACCCAGGGAAGTTGTAGACTTTTCAACATAGGTGGAGGGAGAAAAAATATTTTGTGGGGGCTGAGTGCATGTGCGTGCCCCCCCCAGCAGGTAAGTCTGTGGGGCAAGGGGCAGGGGAGGGAGTGGGGCTGGGGCTGCGGCAGGTCCTTCACAGCTGAGGTGGGGCCTGGCACATCCCCGGCTCCAGCTCGCAGCTGCAACCCGCCCTGCCCTGCACAGATTTGGGGGCACATGCCTCCCATGCCTTCCTGGGGTGCGTGTAGCAGCAGGAGCCAC